GAGATACTGCGGACTGTATATAGATAATTTGACGTTCTTATAAAGAAACAAGAAGCAGCCGCAAATATCATTCAGCGCCACACCGACTTCACACGCCGCTATCGTCACGTATCCGTCAACCAATGGTGAGCCGTTTCTTCAACGCCGCAGTTCGTTTCCTCTTGCTGTTCCGGAGCTGTATTTCACACCGCCGCCGCCCGCCGACTACGCGTGCGCACCGATCTGCATGTCTTATATAGCCCGGTCCAGCGACGTAGCTTCGTGAACAACAAACAAGTCTCACGCCGGGAAACGAAACGTAGATAATTGTATATTTTAAATAGTTTTCATTGGTCATAAAATAAGCAATATAATTGGCTAGGCAAAATATTAATTGTTACCATTGGCAAATCAATAGTGAGCCAGCCATATAAATATAGGCAAGGTTGATGCAAAAGATATTCCATTCCGAATCCCATTCGACAGTACATTCATAAACATAAACAGTAGTTTCATTTCTTAAAGAAAACCACTCGGAGTCTGTTAATAGTGGACAGTTCGTCTCCACTATTACAGTCATATTAGTGGCTGCGGCCTCTACGTCGTCCGCTGTGTTTAAGGGGTGGTGTGCTGGAGGTCTCTCCTGCAGGTGTTTGTGGTAGAGCCTCCAGTCGACACGTGTCTTCACTGTTCTGGGCGGCGTAGTCACCGCCTTTAAGCCAAGGGTAATTAAGATCGGGAGGTGCTGCGATTCCAGGTCGTACAGCACCTCTACCACTATCGGGTAGTTGATGTTCCTAGCGAGCACGATGTCCAATACATCCGGACGACTTCGTGGATCCGTTGGAACATGTGTAGGTTCTTCAGGACCTAAAACGTCATAGCCGTGTCTTTCGGCGTCTTCAAATAGTACATGACCCGGCGGGTTGATCAGTCTAGATCCCCACGCCGGGTGTTTGGCGTTTAGGTCCCCGGCGATGATGGTCGGTGTTTCGCCTTCCATTACCGTCCGGACGTCTGAGGAGCAAAATGGAGTCCCTGGCGGGCGGTATGCTGCGTAGATCCTAAGTTCCTCGCCCGCCGCCTCCATTTTTATGCCGATAGAGCGCATCGTTTGGTATTCCGGTAAGTCAAGTTCTTGATGGACGATGTCCCTTCTCACTAGGACCGCTGTCCCTCTGTAGGCGGCCCCCTGAGAAGTGACCTCGTCCCTCCTATATATATGATAATTAGGCAGCTTAATGCGTGTGCTCGGATTTAACTTCGTCTCTCCCAGCAAGATGACCTGTACGTCTTGTTGTTGGGCGACGGTGCGGAGTTCTTGTAACTTCTGCTGGATTCCACCTGGGTTCCAGTAGAGGAGGCGCAGGTTAGACTCCTCCAGTGTAGTGCCGAGCCAGTAGATTAGCCAGCGCCTTCATAACCGCTGTGATCGGATCTGTCCCGGCTCTAATATCAGCCAGGACTTGACTGCCGACCTCGATTGCTATGCCAACCAAACGTTGGATGGCGTCAGCAGTCTCGAAGCCGGCTAGAGGTGTTCTGGATGCGTGTGCGGAAGGCGCTGGTCTCGGGAGTTGGTGTACGTCTCTTTGTTTATGGGTAGAGCGCGCTCCGTGTGTAGAGCGGGCTCTATTTTCTGATAGAGCCCTTTCTGGCACTCTACCCATTCTGGCTTTCTTGTCTTCCATGGTAACCTGCACCTGGGCTATCGTTACCGTTGGGGTTGGGGTAGAGGTTGCTGCCTGAGGAGGAGGCTGCACCTTCTTCTTCTTCTTTCTCCCCCCGCTTACTCCTCTGAGAGGTTTGGCGCTCTATGGCGTCATTAGCGGGGGGCTGAAGAGTCGCCCCCGGTGGTTGCCTTAGATGTAATAATGGTGGGCACCACCGTTCCTGTGGGTGCCGTGACGGGTGGAGGGGGGGGCAGGTTGCCTTCCTTTTCCTCTAATTGTGGTCCACCCGTCTTCCTGAACCACGGCCCTGGGACGACTTTGGGGGACCCTCTTGGGCTCCTCTGGGAGTAGTCCCGGTAGAGTGAGCTGCTTCCTTGCAATCCTCCTCAGAACTGGGCAGCGGCGATCGTTGGCGGTATGGTTCTTGGCGCAGTTAGCGCATCGCGGTTCCTCATCTCTACCCCTTGGGCAGTTGCTGGCTATATGGTCTCCGGCACAGCGAACACACTTCACTGGCCTGAAGCAATTCGTGGATGCGTGGCCAAAGGCCTGGCAGCGGTGGCACTGTGAGGGGCCCGCTCTTCCTTGCCAGGCCTCTATGACGACTCCTCTCATGAAGAGGAGCTCGTCGATTTGGTAGAGTTCATTAAGGCGCTCCAGGCTCAGGTGGTCCAGCTGCGCGAAGTAGAGGCACCCAGGTCTCCCTCTACGGGGGGGCGATCCCTTTTACGTATCTAATCGGGAACCCCTTTGCCCTGATAGCCCCCTCTATCGCGGTTGGATCCGTGCCCACTGGTAGTCCCCGTATGCCCACTTTCGTGGGCTTGTCCTCTTCGGGGGGTGTAACAGTACCAGGGCATAGCTGGTACTTTCTCGGTCATCTCTATTAGGTACTTTTGTACCGTCCGGAATTCTTCCGGACTCTGGGGGGTAAATATTACTCCCTTGCCGAATGGATGGGCATTCGGTGGGTGGCCCAGTTTCTTATTAAGTGCCTCGAAGTGCTTCGTCCAATCCGGCAAGCACTCAGCCACTATAGGTGGGTACCTTTTAGCCGATTCTTCCGGCGGTTTTGGTGTTTCGGCAGTCTTTGTCCTTGGTACTGCCGGGGCAGCTACCAGTTGGGCATAGCTGGTGGAAGGCCTCAGACCATCGTCCGATGGCCGGCCTGAAGGGTTGGTGGTAGGCGCGGATGGTGAGTGTCCGGCAGATGAGCTAGGTGCTAGGGTTGCATACGTGGTGGCACTCCATCCGTATGACCCTTCTCCTCCCTGCTCCAGATCAGCAGCATCCATGCTGGTGTGTTCCGGTGTTCTGGGGGGGGGGGGTGGTTTTAATCGGCGATGGCGATTTTGGTGGTGATCTTCTAATCGGCTTTTTAGGTTGGTGATCCGATTCCCCCTCAGATGATGAATAGTCCGAGGAGTTGGTGGTACTGTAGCATCGCCTCTTCTCCTGGAGGGATGCTGCTGTTTCTGGAGGCGTATGCCTTCTCTGGGTCTTCTTGGCCCGCTGGGGTTGGGGGAACGGTTCCCGCCCAGTCGTACCTCCAGGTACGATGGGCGAGAGCGCGGTCCTCGGTGCGGGCTCTTTACCCGGTGAGGAGGGTTTCCTTGTCGGGATCTGAGAGTAGGAGGACACTACTCTAGTCCTTTTAGGATCGAATATGTCGCGATACGCGATAGGGCGGACTAGTACACCAGGACGGTCGGGTGTTCTTCTGGGTTTGGGTTTAGGTGGAGGCTCCCCCCTTGTCCTTATCGGACATATTGAAACCTACCTAAAGTCAGTCAGGTATTCTCTAAGGCCCTGTCTAATAATTGCCAGCCGATTCGGCACGAAGCGCGACGCGGATAGCAAAAGTATAAGCGTAGTTGGCGTATTCACAACTGGGCACTGCCTACCCCTTTTGTCAGCAAAAGGGTTGGGGGAAGTGCGACGGTGGCACTTTACGACGCGACTAGGCACAGGATGCTCGGAGCGCATAAAGTGCCCAAGAATCACCTAGGGGCCGGTGACCTCGACGCCTCACGGAATCACGGGACTCAACGTTCGGCGGAGTACGTCGTACCGGCGGTCATTTACAGCCACTGCTAACTGCAAACAACGCAACCACCTAGGATATTCCGCTGGTGTTGCGGTTGTTCATGGGCGGCGGTAGTCACTTACCATCAGGTGAGCCGCATGCTCGTTTGCCCCCTCTTCTATAAAAAAATGTTGTGTTTACTTTAGCTAAAGACTAGTAGTAAAATGTGAGGTATGTCAAAGGATGTCAAGAGGGATATATATTTATTACTCCATCAAAAGTTAGTTAAGTTGGAGTATTTCATTGCAGTGTAGTGGCGGTGTGAGAGAAACCACTACTCTATTTCATCTTTATACGTGGTAGAGCCATCCTACAGTTATATTAGAAGTATAGTTTTAGCACGAATGGGTCGGCTCGACCGGGAAAGGACCACGCTCTCACAGAATACCATCGTGAAATAGTAGCTTAATACTGTGTTTCATATGGTGAGTGTAGAGAACCGGAGACCCTTTTTACTGGAAGCGAGGCATTCCATCTTAGTCCTTACGGGTGACAACGCATCTGCATTTTGATTCTATGAAAGATGGATGTAGATGTCTGTGGGCCACAGCAACCACTTACCATCAGATGGACTGTGTACTCGTTTGTCACCCTATTATATAAAAAAAAATCTCGTAGCTGTCGTAAGAAGCGATAGAGAAAAACTGAAATAGATGTGCAACACCATCTTCCTTTTTTTTCATAGAGAGAGAGACGAGCACACAGTCCACCTGATGGTAAGTGGATGCGGTGGCCCATAGACATCCACATTTATGCTCAACTAAGGATCAAAATGCAAATGCGTAGTCAACCCTGAGAACTAAAATGGAATGCCCCGATCCAGTAAAAAGGGTCACCCGTTCTCTCCACTCACCATACGAAACACAGCAGCATTACGCTTACGCGGGTAATGCTTTTACGCGGGTATTCTGAGAGAGCGTGGTCCTCACCGGTAAAGCTGACTCATTCGTGCTACAACTATAATCAACTGAAAATATTTTAAAAAAAAACGCGATTGTTATCCCTCTGACTGCCTAGCCACTACGGCAAATTCGCTATGATGTAAAGTACGGGGGAGGCCTTATAGTTTGTTATAAATTAATGAAATAGATATTCCATCTCAGCTATCGGTGGTGATAACGCATGTGATGATAACGTAGGTGTCTATGTGCCACTATATTTCCAGTTTATACTTATTATACTCTTTGCACTGTATTCACTTTCTTGGGTGGACTGTGTGCTTGTATGTCACCTTTAGTACGTCTATAAAAATTTACAAATGTTTATATTATACCATAGAATCTCCAATCGGCAACCGGAGCAACTGCAGCAGCACAACGGAAGACATCTCCTCCTCTAGCTAGTGCTAATGATGCAGCGTATCCACCATAAGACCAACCCCAAATACAAGTGCGGTTGCTATCTAGCCACGAGAGCTGTTGCTGAAGCTGTCTGGAAAGAATTTCGTAACAGTTTATAATATCCAATAGAGCTGTGGTAGCTCAGATGGTTGACTCTCGCTGTAAATATAACAGAAAGCGAGTAACCCGGGTTCGATCCCCGCCAGCACCGATGAAATTGTTAATTGCAATTGTTAGTGCTGATTTACTACGTGCTCGGTGATGAAGGAAAGCATCGTGAGGAAACCTGCATATCTGAGGAATAAGAAAAAAAATATTTCGAAGTCATGTGAAGTTCGCCAACACGCATTGAGGCAGCGCGGCGGACACTTCCTTTCCCTAAAACCCTCTCAGAAATGATGGAGGAGGGACATATATAAGCTTTAACTTTACTTTTATAATATCCCATTATCCAATATAGGATATTTCATACTGTGTGTCGTAAATGGCAATAGAGGGAAATTAAGGGCGAAATGAGAAGCAATGTCTTCATGATAATTGCTCAAAATAATAAACAACTGTGGCCAAACTATCTGCTAATATATATAATTAACTTATAGGGATAGCAAATATGTCATTTATTATCCCTATAAGTTAATTATGGGACATAATTTATGCCTGTTCGAAGTATCTTGTCATCTCAAATACGGCAATGCAATGCGGTAGTGGTTTAAGAAGAATGACAAATAGGAAAAAGATGATGATTTTACCTAGTGACTGTTATTTGGTCTTCGATTTCCACAGTACCCAGACGTCGGTTTAGAGCAAACATGTTTTCGACTCCACGTAGGCCAGAACCTCGCCCGTCGATGTGGGCTACTGCAATACCCCAGCGGTTTACGAGAGATGTTCCCCAGTCGATACTCCACTGCTTCGTAACTAAAGCAGTATCTGGTCCACCGTATCTGTAATAAATAAGTTATATTATAGATTAATTTTATTAAAATTATTCTTTTCTTTTTTCTTTCTCTTTTTCTTTTTTTTAAAGATTATTAACAATGCTATAAACATTACTAATATTCCCCTTAACCACTCGTGGTAAGCTTAAATTGCTTGTATATGTGCTATTATAGATTAATTTTATTAAAATTATTCATTTCTTTTTCTTCTTTTTCTTAAAAGAATGTTAACAATGCTATAAACATCCTTACCACTGTGGTAAGCAATTGCTTGTATAGTGCTATTATAGATAATTTTTAAATTATTCATTTCTTTTTCCCTTCTTTTTTCTTTAAAAAAAAAAGAATGTTAACAATGCTATAAACATTACTAATATTCCCCTTAACCACTCGTGGTAAGCTTAAATTGCTTGTGTTACGAGTGGTTCACGCCAGTAGTCGAATGGCTGTTTCGAACCCACGACCTTTTTTAGTTCGCGGTCCGCGCCCTGCCATTAGGCTATCACTTCAATTACATAAATTCAAATTCATATTAGCTGGTACCCGGCGCGTTGTGCCACAGAACAAATAATTGTGAACATATCATTTTAAATTTGGAAAAGTTAAATTGTTTTATTAGGAATTATTATCCATTGAATTTGAATGATATATAACTTTCAAATAAATTTATCGGTACGTTACACGCGCCACCTTCTGTAAGTTAATTGTACTATGTCTATAACCTTCGCACAAATACAACCAATAAGTTGACAAAGTTTTACTGCATACTGATGAACGGTATGGCACAGCACAAAATACGAACAAAGACTAATTTTTACATATTAGAAGAAAATTAATATTTATCACTATATAGAACGGCATTTTATTAGCTTTGACATGATCTATGTTTTTATTTTTTTATTTTAAGACTATACCAGTTCTTCGCTGTGGCAAATCGATTATGGAATTGCCAAGAACACCAAAAGACCGTCGTCACATGGGTAGGTTTTCGGTTAGGCACTCCAAAATTACATTCCGAAGTATCACTTATAAGTCAGCTACAGTTATATATACGAGGGTGGATTGAAAAGTACTCGGCCTAACCAAGAAAATAAACAGATACTAAATCAGTTATATTTTTATTTTTCTACATAATCACCATCAAGTTCAATACACTTTTGCCACCTCCCCTTCCAAGCATTTAGACCGTTGAAAAAAAATGATTCTTCCTTAGAGTCAAAATATGCGTCTACAGCTGCTTTGACCTCGTCGTTTGTCGAAAATCTTTGACCTCCCAAGTGCTTTTTTAGGTTAGGGAACAGAAAGAAGTCTGATGGTGCCAGATCAGATGAATACGGCGGATGCGGTAACAGTTCAAAGCCACACTTGTGAATTTCAGCCATTGACTGTACTGACGTGTGAACACGGGCGTTATCTTGATGACACAGGAATTTTCTTCTGAGCATTCCTCGACGTTTTTCTTTTATTTCCTCTCGTAAACGACGTAGTAAGGTGCAGTAGTAATCAGAGTTTATAGTCTGACCCCTTTCAAGATAATCAATCATAATCACACCTTTCGAGTCCCAGAATACTGAAGCCATCACCTTATTTGCCGACAAAATCGACTTAGCCTTTTTTAGGGGTGGTGAACCAGATCTTCTCCACTGTTTTGATTGTTGTTTTGTTTCCGGTGTACAGTAATGAACCCATGTTTCGTCCATAGTAACAAAACGATTCAAAAAATCATCTGCATCGGCTTCAAATAACTCCAAACAGTCGCGTGAAATAGTCAATCGCGTCCTTTTTTGTTCAACTGAAAGCAGTCGCGGAACCCACCTCGCAGACACCTTGTGGAAACCCAACTCGTTGACAATGATGTTTTGAGTTCGTTCATAAGAGATGCCTATAATCTCGGCTATCTCTCTAATTTTTAATCTGCGGTCTCCCATTATTAAATCAAGTACTTTTTTAATATTTTCGTCACTAGTTGACGTCGAAGGCCTTCCAGAGCGGGGTTCATCTTTCATACTCTCTCTACCACGCTTAAATTCTGCTATCCATTTTTTGACGGATGAATATGACAGAGCACAATCGCTTAATATACTGACCATGTCATCATGGATGGCTTTTCATGATAGCCCCTTCTTATGGAGGTACTTAATGACGGCACGCTGCTCGATTTGCTCCATTCGCGGAAATTATGTCCGATTAATTTGTTAATAAATTTATAAAATCACAACTAATTATCGCACACGTTTCGAACTTCACACAATGAACTAGTCTGAACTGAACTAAATAATGTGGGTAGATTTGATTTTTAGAATTGAATGGATCTGTGTTAGGCCGAGTACTTTTCAATCCACCTAGGTATGAAAGTTTGTAATTTCAAGTTGGAAATAAACAGATTTAGGTGCAATTTGCCTCACAGACACTTTGTATCGCGCATTAACACTGTCGGGATTTTTACTTTAGGACAATAAATGTCACCGACTAAAATGTGTATTATATGTAGAAAAACCATTCTGCCACTAAATTATGGTTGTAGTCTGAATAGCTCGGCTCGAACGCGATATAACTGCTCTACCAGCGTAAAATAGCAGCTCAATGCAGCTGTGTTACGTATGCTGAGTGTAGATAACCGGAGACCCTTTAACTGGAAACGAAGCATTGCATCTTATTCGTCAGGGATGACAAGCCATCTGCGTTTTAATTCTTAATCGAGGAAAAATGTAGATGTCTATTTGCTACAGCTTTCACTTACCATCAGGTGGACTGTGTGCTCGTTTGCCACCCTTATTTTATAAATATTTAAAATAAAAACCGAGATGTATTGGTTTTCACGTGATTGAAGCAGCAAGCAGGAGAAGGTAGTGCAGAAAATAAATCTTTTACTCGTATAAGTTTAGAGAAAACCAGATAAAATCTTACTTACACGTAAACTAATAAAGGTACGTTGTTGCGCGATTGGTAATCGTGCGGAACTTGGATATGGACATCAGCGTCTGGCAGGCCGGTGGCTACAGGGACGCTCATTCTCAAAATTGAAGGTAGAGTCTGACTGGCTAACATGGAAGACGTCTCCGCATTGTCATCCCACGTTTTGATCAGAGTACCGTTCTAACGAAAAAACATTGTAAATTTACGAAAACACATTAACAACTTATAATTGAAGGTAACTCGAGTTATCTGTGACATCAAAACTTTGGACACTTGATGATCATGGGTGCAACAAAGCACTGGTTTCGTTCGTTTCGAGGGACCATTATAAGTTGTATAGTCGCAATAATGACTTCTTATGTTTGCGCGAATACTGCACATTGAAATAAAACTAATTAGGTACCTACTATATTCAAAACATGAAGATCAATTATGAGTTTTGAGATAAAATAAAATAACGAGATATTCATCAAAAACAATTTTTTGATGAATATCTCATAATTTATCCGGTTTCCGGATAGAATAGCCCTGATCAGTCCTGAAATTTGTTTCTCACATGTTTCTAAAGTTTTATCAAAGCAGTTCTTGTCATAAAGTTTTCCCTAGACGGGATGACAAACAGACAGACAAAAACCTTTAATTGTTTTTATCACATGAAAATAACTCTTTAAACTTAAAATACACCAGTTGTGTCATTATTACAGATAGACACTCAATTTTATATATACGAAATTGCGTCAGCAATTGTACTACGTAATGGCGTAGGAATTGGCTAAGAGAAAGAATTATGATCTTATAAAGCTCATCGGAGCTCACAGATTAGTAAGCTGAAGCGGCATTGGGCCGGCCATATAGCTCGAAGAACCGACAACCTATGGGAAAAAAAGATTCTCGAGCGGAAGCCTCGTACCGGTAGGCGTAGGGCGACCGTCCACTAGATGGAGTGACGGCCTGGTAAAACATGCAGGAAGTTGATGGATGCAGGTGTCTCAGGACCGTGCTTTGTGGCATTCCTTGGGGAAGGCCTGTGTTCAGCAGTGGACTTGTGAAGGACCGTAATGATGACGATGATGAAATCTCATCGACAAATTAATGGGTCATTAAATATACAGTCGTCCAGTGTAATAGACCATACTGGCGTAGTGATTACAGCAGATCTTTTTTCAAATAGCTCAGTTTATCAACTAATGGACTTCTATGAGTTGATGAGAATGTATTTTGGGATACTCTTATGATGAAGTGCGGCTTTTTTGACTTGAGAGAGACAAGGTCATTATGCGCTCGGCAAAGTCTAGTTACTAACATAGAATTTGTAGGTGTAGCCTACGCACAATTGAAGTATTATTTTGGCAAAATAATAATTACTACATACTGAACTATATTATAAAAAATAAAATAAACTAAGTTTAAATGTTTGAAAAATTTATATGTGTTTATATTTATGAAAAATATAGATAGTCGATTCTTTTCATCATCATCATCATCGCCACCATCGTCATAGAATTAATCGCGACGCTTTTGGTTCAAGGTAGAGCCAATGGTATGGTAAAGTCACGCTGCAGCTATATTATGGTTGTAGCACGAATGGGTTGGCTCGACCGGGGAAGGACCACGCTCTCACAGAATACCAGCGTAAAATAGCAGCTTAATATTGCTGTGTTTTGTATGGTGAGTGTAGAGATCCGGAGACCCTTATATACTGGAAATGATTCCATCTTAGTCCTCAGGGGTGACAACGTATCTGCGTTTTAATTCTTAATCGGGGATAGATGTAGATATCTATGGGCCACATTATCCACTTACCATCAAGTGGACTGTGTAATAGTTTGTCACCCTTATTCTATAAAAAAAATTATTATCTTTATATAAATGGGGAAACTGCGTAATCGGACTATATATTTTACTGAACGAAAAAAGATATGAGTTACTCGTAAGCACCTAAAGAAGTTTTACTTCAACTCACAACATCATATATAAGTATTTTAGGTAAACTCGGTCCAGCGCAGTTGACAACTATCCGCGAGGCATCCGTACTGATGGTTGCTTCATTGTACAAACACTCTCCGCCGTCATCTCTGACGATGCCGCACGTGAAGCACGTCACCACCCGTTCAGCGTTAACTGTGTAAATGTGCTGTTCCGCAGAATCGTCCACGTGCGTCGCTTTGTACCAACTGAAATGTATAAGTTTTTGTTTTATTTTGTGATCATCATCTTGTTCCAATGCGATACGGTGGCTTATAAGAATCTATCACTCTATTTCGTCCAGTGGGTTTCGTAAAAGGTCACTATAGATGATACTCTATAGGATTTGCCAGAAAAAACTTATACGCTCTGATAGATGACAGTATAACGGACTGGCGATAGACAGCGGCGCTAAAAATGACGTCAATCTACCGGCAAAACGTTATGATTTAGGCAAATCATCCTTACAAAGGGAAGGGCTCATATCCAACAGTGGGTTTTACGCCCTAACATATATGAAGAAAAATAACCTCAGATCCTTTCTACAATCGCGACTTACAAAAGTACGAGAGTTTACAGTACGTTTATTCTGTACTATCATAAGTATCTATTTTAAACTTATAGTGAAAAATATCATTTTAAGCCTCTCCTAATATTCTTATATGGTAGGTTATACGTGGTAAAGCCAAACTGCTACACGAGCCAGGAATGCGTCGGCTCAATCGGAGAAGGGCCACGCTCTCACAGAATACCTGCGCAAAATAGCAGCTTAATGTCTACTTTTACTGGAAATTGGGCATTACATTTCAGTCCTCAAGGGTGAAAACGCAACTGCGTTTTGATTCTTAACTGAGGATAAAATATGTAGATCTCTATGGGCCACAGCATTCACTTACCATCAGGTGGACTTTTTGCTCATTTTCACACTAAATCTATATAAAAAATATAGGATCAGCGAAGTATTGGTTGCAATGACCATGGACTTGCTTCGACGTCCTATACTAACTGATGTAAAAGCAAACTATCTATTAGCCGAAACTAAAGGTAAAATTAGTAAACATATCAGACCTTAAACTCTTGTAGCTCAGGAGATAATCACTTGTGCTTGAATGATTAAATTTAAAAAAAGAAAAAATCGACATGTGAAACCTAAAAATAACAAAATAATCTTCACATTATAGCTTCTAAAATCGAGGCATTAAATTCTTCGATATATAATTGTGTCTGAGCGCCGACTGCACAAGCTCTTATATTATGTGGAAAATAATTTTTAACAACATTATTAGAAATTCATCTAAATAAATACACTAAAAACTCCACCCTCGTTTTTACACGCTTTAGACTGAATTATTTTCAACAAGTTTACATTGGAACCTAAGGAATTTACAAAAAAATGTTGTCACTATGAAAATAAATTCGTTAAATATTATTCAAAAGAAGTGATATATATTTTATAATAATTGTAAATTGCTTAAATATTTTTGATAAATGCTTACTTCTATTTAGTTAAACTAATATTTAATATATTATAAACTCAATATTATAATATCAGCTATGTAGTGGCGGCGTAAGAGTATTCACTGTCCCTTGTCATCCCATGGTTGTCTTAAAAGATGACGAAAGGAAGTGAAGCAGGAGACAGGCAGCATCTTCTTACTTTCAACAACTCAAAATAATAAACTACGGTCGCCGGCAAACATCTCACCTATGAGGCAGGACACTTATGTTCAGCTGCGGACTTTATGTAGGTAGTACGAATGGTTACCTAAATTTTTTTTTATAGGATAGGGTGACAAACGAGCACACCGTCCACCTGATGGTAAGTGGTTGCTGTGGCCCATAGGCATCTACATCTATCCTCGATTACGAATCAAAATGCAGATGCGTTGTCACCCGTGAGGACTAAGATGGAATGCCTCGTTTCCAGTAAAAAGGGTCTCCGGTTCTCTACACTCACCATATGAAATACAGTATTATGCTACTATTTCACGCTGGTATTCTGTGAGAGCGTGGTCCTTCCCCCGGTCGAGCCGACCCATTCGTGCTACAACTATACTACTAATATAACTGCAGCATGGCTCTACCACGTATAAAATAATCAAGTTATTGCTAAATATATATTTTGATTTTGCGCGTAACGCAATTAAAAGGGCTTCACTTTATTATTTAAGTATGTAGTTGAATTGGTTGAGTTGAATTTTCTTACATTATATCACCTGGGCCCCACAAAAGAACCTCGACAACTGTGTGTGGTGTATTGGTACGACCGGTGCCAGTCCATAAGTTTGCATTTGTGTCTGATATCTGTACAATTTGCTTGTATGATGTGTTGTTCACGGTCTAAAATGAAACAAAGGTTTTCATTAACATAACAATTAAATGAATACATTGCAACATTTCATCCAATAGATGTCGTAAGACGCGACTATGGATTAGGCCAAAATACCTAAAACCTCTAATTTAGCGGCATGCCTTCCCGTAGTAGTGAAATACCAACTATGACGACGTATTACGATCGCATGACATGCATCATAAGCATGACGATTCCGGTAAGTTCTTCCTCGAACGGGAAAAGCAGATTTCAAGCAATGAACTGTTACGAACTCTTGAGCCTAGTGTACACTAACGTTAGGGCGAAAAACCAAAGTGGATAACGTAAAATATTACAATGGACAATTGCGTGGCATGAAGGAAATTCCAGAAAGAAATACCGTGAGAGTAAGAAGGGAGGATATCTCTTTCATCATCAATGATATGTTTTTATAGAACCTGAAACCTGAATATATAAAATAATAATAATAATAAAGTCGCAGGAAAAACTTACCTGCGGAAGTATAGTTATAAACGAGGTTCCGGCTTCATTAAATAACAGAGGAATGTTGTCTATCCAACCATTGGTTTCTGTGTATTGATAAATCTGAAAAACAAATGACAGTGCACACTGAAATAATACTATTACATAATTCTGAAAGACATTATAAATATGTTTTTGGTATAACTTATGACATAAAATATTATTTATTTATTCCTTGAGACATCTATCCCTACAGGTCGAACCCAATGCGATAATGTCATCTTTTTCATTCTAAACTAAATCATACACTAATAATACTACATTTACGTAGCTAAATAAACAAATAAAAACAATATTATAAACGTTAAGCTATATAAATTAAATATACAAACTCGTGACTCATCAATCACTCAGCTAAAAGAACCTAACATCGATAACTCTTTACACTCATAAAATAACACCAACCCTAACAGTAACATTTAAAAAAAACATATAGTATGTAATATGACCTTTGCTAATTCACCAAAGTGGCAACTTAACATGTCAGTTTTATAATGCACAAGGTTGATCACGTGAAGAGCTCAACTTAGAGGTGTTTTTGTTACAAGATTAGGAGTTGCTGAAGGCACAGTGTGTAGTGGTGGACGCCTCCGTCTCGTTACGCAGCGGTCCGGCGCATAGAGATTCAAGTGCCGTAGAACTATCGGGTTATGCCCATAGCCCCACAATAATATGACTACAATAATATTTAGAAACCGATAACCTATGGGTAAGAAAGGTTCTCGAGTGGCAGCCTCGTACCGGTAGGCGTAGTGTAGGCCGACCCCCCACTAGATGGAGTGACGACCTGCCATTTCCATGCGGGGAGTCGATGGATGTAGGTGGCTCAGGACCGCGCTTTGTGGCATTACTTGGGCGAGGCCTATGTTCAGCAGTAGACTTGTGAAGGGCTGTAATGATGATGATGATGATGATGAATATTTAAATCCAATTCGTTTTTAAGCTATTGCATAGCTTCTATCGCGGGCCTTGAGCGCGGGGACCGAATCCAGAAATTCCGTAACGAAAAAAACCTCACGCTCCCCACTCCGACGGGCACGGAGGTGTGGCGTTGAAAGCCGTGCATCGTCTAACGTCGTTTCAGTTCGGCAGACTTCGGCACTCGGCAGACTTCGGCACGGTGTTTGTGTGCGTGCGACTAGACGTATGCGTGTACACTAGCTGCTAACTCAATAAAAATTCCTGAATAACCTACATGTATTGTAAGTTATTAAAAATATTTTAAACAATATTAACTTCTCATTTATTCAATAAGAGAAAAAAAATTGTTTTCTTATCGGTCACCACGCTCAATAAGAGTAACTTGATTTAATATCAAAGACTTAACTGCATAAATAAAATAAATAAATAATTATAATTGCATAAGTTGATAAAAAAATGCTATGCAATAGCTTTACCGCGGCAGTCACCGAGTGCCACACGTATTTTTTTTCTTTATATAAAACTAAAGCTATAAACGGACTGTGCCACCTGATGATAAGTGACTTCTGCATTCCATTGACACCTGCAGCCGACTTCAAGCAAAGAAGGCTGCAAATGCGTTGACCACTAAAATGGAATCCTTAACAGCAAGTAATTACAGTGATATTTTTTTATGATAAAAACAGCAGTACATATTAGAAATAAGTAAGAAGATGGTAGCTCTCCTCACAGACTCCTATGTAGAATAGAAATCCTGCCACCAGGACTATATATAGCTAAGGGTAAATAATCATATGTAGCCGATATGATTATTTAGTTTTAGCCATAGCTACTTGAAGTACTCGTATAATGGCAAAAACGCTGGTGTTTCCTCACTGTATGGTTATATTCCTGCCGAAAGGAATCAAGCTCACCTTGAAGAACACAATAATTATTCTCGAATGAATAGCAAGCAAAGCGGACCTTTTTACACTCAGTTTTAATAAGTTTCATCATTTCTAACGCTAACGTGGTAGAGCCATGCTGCAGTTTATTAGAGTAGTACAGTTGTAGCACGAATGGGTCGGCTCGACCGGGGAAGGACCGCGCTCTCACAGATTACCAGCGTGAAATAGTAGCTTAATGCTGCTGTATTTCGTATGGTGAGTGTAGAGAACCGGAGACCCTTTTTACCGGAAAAGAGGCATTCCATCTTAGTCCTCACGGGTGACAACTCGTCTGCATTTTGATTTGTAATAGAGGATAGATGTAAATGTCTATGGGCCGCAGCAACCACTTACCATCAGGTGGACTGTGTGCTCGTTTGTCACCCTATCCTATAAAATAAAAATAAATAAATAAATCCTTTTTTATATAACCATATCCACATTTTTATCTGATCATCTCAACTGACAGTCACATCGCCCTGTTTTAAACGAAAGGCGTTGCGGGCACATATGCCGCATTTTATAGCTTTCAACTGACTTGCTCAAGATTTGGAGATTTCTAATATACTTACCCCAACAGCTACACGTTTAAGTTAAGTTGGTGGGATATGAATATAAAACATAACTATAAACTTGTATAATACCACGTAGAGGACTCCGGTTTTTGCCGCGTTTAAACTTTTTTAAAACACACAATAAAAAAATCACTATTAAATCAACACACTTATCATAGCATACTTGTGAGCAGTTGCCTCCATTCTCCGTGCAGAGGTTAACTTGGAATGTGGTCTGAACACGGTTCGTCCACATTATAGCAATCGTATTGTTGTTGACGAAATTCACCGTCTTCAATATTGGCCTGCAAATCAAAATAAGCAGCGATTATTAATTTGTTTATATGTAAGCTTTCAAACGGTCCAACTTTGATCTTGTTAACCTGGGCCCAAAAATGTATTGATTCGTCTCCATCTCCTTTATCAACTATCGATTTTTCAATTTCTTGTAAGAGGTATATGTTATAAGATCGTACCATTACCATTACCGATATGCGGTAGTGGATATTCCTAAGATAATATACCCGCAACTAATATCCTATCTACCTTTTACCTGTTATATACCAACTACGTGCTGATAAGTCGGTAGGGTCTGGCTTATATATGGGAAATGTTTGTTCCGACTGCTAGATTTAGCGTGATATTTTTTGCGTTTTTTCATAACCGGTTCTTACATCTTTCATACCATTAGATGTGGTATGATATTCTCTAAAGCTAACTATTTAGATCTTTGAACACCACCCACTATGTAATATAGTGGTTGTCATGAGCATTTTATCCGTGATAGAGTCACGCTGCAGCTATATTATGGTTGTAGCACGAAAGGGTCGGCTCGACCAAGGAAGGACTCTTACAGAATACCAGCGTAAAGTAGCAGCTTGATGCTGCTGTGTTTCGTATGGTGAGTGTAGAGAATCGGAGACCCGTTTAGCTGGAGACCCGTTTAGATGTCTATGAGCCAAGGCATCCACTTAACATCGAGTGGACTGTGTGCTCGTTGACAAACGACCTAAATCTATTTAAAAAAAAACATGAACCTATTATCATCATCATCATTATCATTACAGCCCTTCACAAGTCCACTGCTGAACATAGGCCTCCCCCAAGTAATGCCACAAAGCACGGTCCTGAGCCACCTGCATCCATCGACTTCCTGCATGTCTTACCAGGTCGTCACTCCATCTAGTGGGGGGTCGCCCTACACTACGCCTATGAACCTATTAACCAAACATATATGAACATGATAAAATAAAATTACATCCTTATGTACTGGCAGACAAAGAATACCACTACACCACCCCATATTATCCTGTGGGTTTCGTAATTGGGAACAGAAAGAAACAAGCCTAAATATCGGTAGCAAGAACTGGGAAATAAAAAACTGCGGATGCCAACGTGTCCATGTAGCAACTAAGGAAGTATTACTCTTATGTGGAAATCTATAAATGGAACTATGTTCAGTAGTGGACTTTGATAGGCTGTAATGAATGAATCAATCAATGAATAAAACCTATAGGACCCGACTATATTATTGTGCGGTCATTATAAGTGTTTTTGTTTAAAAAGTAATAACCAACAGTACAGTTCATACATGGTAGAGCCATGCTGCATCTATATTATTGTTGTAGCACGAATGAGTCGCCTGGACTAGGGTAAAACCACGCTGCTGTTTTTCGTATTCTGAGTGTAGAGAATCGGAGACCCTTTTTACTGGTTACGAGCCATCTTAGTCCTCAGGGGTGATAATTTATCTACAGTTTATTTAGATTTTATTCTTAACCGATGATAAATGTAGATGTATATTGTATACGGATACATTACAGTACACTTACCATCAAGTGGATGGTGTGCTTTGCACCCTTATTCTATAAAAAAAAGTAGAAAAACCAAACCTGAATTTCAAATTCTGCAGTACAAAACTACCTAATGCCATTACAGTACATTCAAGCCGGTCTCGAAGGATTATAAAATAGAGGTAAACTCACTCGTTAAGGTCGGTGGGAGCGTTAAAAACAGACTCATTGCCGCTGGTGATGTCACGAATGGTCACTCTTACTGTTGGATTCGTGGTGCCGGACTGAAAATAATAAGATATATCTTATATATGCGAAATATTTTATCCTTTATAATCCTTTTAATTCGACATTTACTATTATTATCCTTTTTGGACTAAATTATCGTCTCAAGAGCTACATTAAAATTTTTATCCCCCATTCTGCCAATCTTAGATGTGGAACTTTTAATAAAAAAATTGATCACCTCTGAAGTAATAACTTATTAAACAAATATATATATAAATATATATATATATATATATATATATATATATATATATATATATATAAATTCGGTTTTTTATTTAAGAAGATATCGCGTAACATTATTTAAAAAAACATACAGTCGAATTTTAAATATCTTCCTTTTTTAAAGTCGGCTAAAATAAGGCAAAGTTATAAAACAAAAGCACCTCTAAACCAGTTTACTCACACTTTCTCCAGTACGAAACGAAAGTGAAACGTAATGCATGAGACATACGAGTACTTCACTGAATATTGTGCAAGCTGTTATCAGGAATTCGCTCACGTAGATTTTAGATCTAATGTAAAAATTACACAAGACCAAATTAGTTCTAATTTTAATGGAAATGTCATCACATATCACAACAGGGGTTTTTTTGCCATAAATAATTAAAAACAAATGTTTATTGTTTCTTTTTTGTGCTACGGGAATAACCACATTTCCTTTGTTCTTTCTTCTTCTATTACATGAAGTTTTTAGATACGAATACGGACATAAATATAATAAATTAAAAAATGTTGTTATTGTCAATAAAAAAATCCGTAAGAACAGTTACGGATTTTTAAGCGGTTAATTTAATGATTTCTTAAATTAACGCGAACACTGCACATTGAATAAAACTATTATTTACGGATTTTATCGCGTTTAATTCAACTTTAATTTATTTTTATTATCCCGACGTTTCGGGTGCTTTACAGCACCCGTGGTCACGGAGGGGAGCCCCCCCCCCTAAATACTAGTTTTATTCAAGCGGTTAATTTATTTTTAAAAGGCGCATTACAACACCCATGTTCACAAGGGGACTACGAAACTTTGGAATAAAAAAATGTAAATTTGAACACGATAAAATATGTAAAATTAGTTTTATTAAACATTTAGTATTCGCGTAAATTTCAGAAATAATTCATTTAGTCACTTGGTAAATCCCAAACATGATAATGCACATACACACTACAGTATTTTCATCATCATCATTTCCATTCATCCTTCTTCCATCCGTCCTTTCAAAAGTTGAACATAAACGTCCCCTATAGGAGTGATATTTGTCAAAGTGGTAAGCTTGGCAGACGGATTGACAACCATTGTTTTTTTTTTTCATTAACATGTTTCTATTAGAAAGACGCCGCTGCAGGCTTCCTGATTCAGTCTTCTACTGTCGTCTCTTACGACACTTTTAGGAATTACTTCCATCGCCACTACACGGCGTATGTGCCACTATGCCACTACTAATTAATTTTAATCATCGAAATCATCCGAAGAGCTCTTGTCTCTATAAATATCCCCTCGGTTTTAGAGCCTTGCGGGATATTTAGAGACGATGGCAGGAGACCCGACGGTATGACTTTGGTCCCTTGGGAGAGAGGTAAAGCCCTAGTGTGGGATGCTACTTGCGTTGATACTTTGGCGGCCTCTCATCTCAAGGGTACCTCTTTTAGAGCCGGGGGTGGCATCAGAGGTAGCGAATTTAGTAAATGGCGCAAATATGAGTCTTTGAGAAATGACTACATATTTGTGCCATTTGCTGTAGAGACTATCGGTCCGTGGGGTCCACGTGCAATGAAGTTTCTAAAGGAACTGTATCCACGACTGGTCGTCGCTGCTGGTGATAAGAGGGCTGGTTCTTTCCTCGCTCAAAGGCTAAGTATAGCTATTCAGTGAGGAAACGCAGCCAGCGTTCTTGGCACTATACCACGGGGAGCAGGTCTTTTTGACGATTAAAATTTTTAGTTTTAGATTTTCTATATTATAGTTTCTTCTTTTGTATTGTATATAATTAGTTTTAATCGTAAATATTATAATTTTGATTATTATTTTAGTTAAGTTCTTTATTATAATTTTTGTACTTAATATAAATTGAACAATAAAATTGACGTAATAGAATAGAATATTTTTTTATTCAATATAGATTACATGCAATTCTTATTGAAAGTCATTTTTTACTTTACAGTTGTTGGTGGTTTGGAAAAAAAACCTCTGTCTTGGGGAGAACCAGCAAGAAACCCAAGGACCTTTTTTTAAATAAATTTTACAATGTGAATGATTACAAAATCGAGAAGCGACCATCTCATTCCCAGGGGTTATTATCAACCATGTATTTATTTATATTACAATAACCCTCTTTATACAGTTTTTGTTTAATTAAATATTTGAACTTGGTAATTATTCCTTTTATTATCTAAGTTTGTTTGGTTTTGTGATGTAAATATCAATGGTGTAATCTTTGCAAACATCCGAAAAAATTTACACTCTCATTAGTTAAGTTCTTGCAATGTAACAAGAAAACTAAAAGCGATCGATGCAAGACCAAGATTCCGCGTAAAAGGTAATGGGAGCGGAACGTTCTACTAACTGCCATTTGGTATTCATGAATTATCATACTGATTTATAATTATAATTACAACGACGTAACTGTTTTAATAATGATGTTTTATAACGGTATATTATTAAAATCGTTGGTTCTGCTTGCGTTTCGAAAAGTATTGCCGAAAATGCATCATAACCATGCAACAAACTATAGTCAAAATACGTTCTACTGGGCACCGCTCAAACCTCATGCTTTCAAATAATAAAAATTAAAAGCCTCAATACGTCCACATTTGGATACATACCTCCTCTCATTCTGAGAGTTTTGTTATAAAGAAGAGTCTCACGCAACCCAAGCGCGTGTAAGCAGATTTCACATATCTATAAAATATATTCTAATTTTTCAGACATGCCGGTTTCATCCCAATGTATTCACATTCACCGCCGAGCATGTAGTAAATCTGCTAATTAAGTAATTATCCACTTTTAGAAGCTCGGAGCTTCGCTTTTTTTAACTAGTGCGGGTTCGTTAAGTACACATTTAATCAATTTTTTATGCGGGATTATTTGGACTCAGTAAGAGTTAAGCTGCACTAGTAGTGAAGAATGTCAGTCGTTCTATCACCGAGACTCCAATCTAGTTATTAACGTAAATAATCGTTAATTTTTGGGATAAAGGGTCTGGTGTCTAAGATATTCTGTGACTGAAAAAACATGATATATCTTTTTTTACTTAAAGACTTTAAAATCCACTGGACAAGGCAGACTCCCATTGCAAAGATGATTAGTCAGACCTTTTATTCCTAGTTATTATAGCCATTGTTATTCCAAATAAAATAAAATAAAAAAATCCCCACTCTTGGCAGTAGTTGGCAATTTGCAACACCAGACATCTCGCACCTTTGACCATTTTCGCGTTGCCGTTGTATAGGGATAGTTATACTGATGTTTATCGAATACCATGGTTTCTTTCTGACATTTCCCATAGTTGCCTCTAACGAAACCCACGAGATGAAATAGGATAACGTATTTCCTTTCGCTGCCATCACACGCAAGTTTATAAAAAAGAAACAATTCGGTATGTATAATAATAATGCTCTCCAGACAGAATTTGCGGCCAGTGTCAACGGAGAGTGGCCATCTCCCCAGGACAAGATTATAGCACACGAGTGTGTGCGCAAACACAAGTGTACCTTCAATTCCCTCATTATCATAGTCTGAGGGGACAATCCTACACGGCCAGAGAGATGAAGGTGCAGGAAGGACCAAGGGCTGACTCCGGGCTGCTGCTGAAATAACTGATTTTGGCTCGACACGGGATTCAAACACAAGATCGCATGATCAAAGTCGCGCTTACGACTATAAAACCGACGGCACACTGTAAACCTGTGTAAATATTCATTTCGTGGAATAAATCTATATTACAATAATTTTAACCATCAAAATAAACACTAAGATTGAAATTTAAACTTTGTTTTTTATAACAATTTCATAAATAATATTTTCATGTGGATAGGTTGAATAAGTTATTTAGCGACAATCCTACCTTTGGATAACGTATCTCGTGATGTTGAGTGTATTGGTAATCCACGGATCCTGGCACACCATAGTGAGGCACTTTCATAACACGCACGTTGGTATCATCAAAAGTGGCGTATGCTATCTTACTTCCATCTTTGGAAAACCAGAGGGCATTATTTGATGAGAAAACTTCCTCTGAAAATCAAAATTAAACATTCATTAAAAGGAGTTTGATTATGTGTTTCTTGCAGGATAGTAAAATTAGTTAGAGTTAAAAAGAAATGTAAAATAACGTATATTAATCGTGAGCTGTAATGATCCTATAGAAAATAAAGTTTTTTGACCCCGCGCGTCCGAGCGCGTACATTTTGATTCGTTCTTGAGGTATGTAGGTATCTATGAGCCACAGCATCCGCTTATACTCAGGTTGACTGTGTGCTCTTTGGTCACCATTCCTTGCATGTAAATATAATTAATACAACCTGAAAGAGCACTACTGTTGTAAGAAAAAAATTGTCACTTTATTTGATTCATTAAGGGATAGTTTAATGTTCTAACGATTAGTCGCGAGATATGGTGTTTACGCATTCCAATAAATCATAGAGTTAACATATTAGCTGTTTATTGTATAGAGCAACACGGGCCACGATGTGACTCGTATTTCTCTAATAAACATACCAATTACCGTCCAACAAGAAAATATTTTATCAGTATTTGTTTTTAATAATAAATCAGAATATGAAATTGGATTTTGCACAAATATAAGCTCCTCTTTGGATGCCAACCGTGTAGTGGCAGTGAATCAATATCCACTACCACATAGAAGTCCAAATACTCTATGCACTGCCTCATATCTTATAGAAGTCTCATTACTCTATGCACTGGGTCATATCTTACAGAAGTCTCGTTACTCTATGCAATGCCTCATATCTTATAGAAGTATAATTACTCTATGCACTGCCTCATATCTTCTCGTGGGTGTGTAAGAGGCGACAGAGGTAAAGAAACTGGAGATGGACAGCATTTTCTTGATAACAACTCAAAAATACTGCGGTTGCCAAGACGCATTGGACAAGTTGTCACGCGGGTTCGCGCCTATGAGGTACCTATGCGCACCCTATAGTAATCTATGGGGGATTTTGATAGGATGTAATGGAAAATGGATTAGGATCCCAACACAGAGCCAGTAAAGCGATAGTAAAGTACTCCGATCGCCCGATTACACGGTCGGCAATACACACACACCAACGCATATGAACGAGTTCAATCATTGAGAGTAAAAGTTGTTTTATTGGTTGCCACAAACTTGCGCCTACATTTCAATCATTAGACCATAAATTTCTTGACTACTTCTTACGACATACATATAACAAGAAATATATCATTTCACCAAAATTTTCAGAAATAAAATTACTTTTGTTACTCTTAAAATGAAATGAAATCTACATGATAGATAAAAGTTTGTCAATTATTAAAAAATAAAAAAATTAAATAGTAATTAAAGATACATATGAATATAGTACTATAACATTAATAGGATGTACTTAAACATGTATAATGAAAATTGTACATTATAGTATAGTAAAATGTCCAACTTTTACTCTCTTTCTCTACGTTTCTCTTATTAAAAGCAGAGCTAAACCCAAATGTACAGTGGTAGAATATAATTATCAATATTTAGTTTTTATCAAACGAGTATGTACATATAGTTACATACCTTCATAAACCCAATCAGGTATTCCGTGATAAATAACATTAACCTGTCCGTTTGTTGTGATTTGTTGTGAAGTGCTGTTCAAGCTAGCCTGATAGTAGATGTTATTAAGGTATATGAAAGATAAAGATGTTCCAGATGGACCCCACACGAAGTTCTGCAGGAAAGCTTCTTCAGATTCGATATTGGGAGGCAGAATCTCGACAACTTCGCTAGTGACGATGTTAACAGCCGCATATCGGGCTAAGAAACTATACCTGTATACCTGGAAAGATACATTTATAGTTATTTTAACCGAGATAAAAATATGAGACAGTTCTATGATCGATGCGTATTTTTTTATGTATTTAAATAAGAAATTGGCCGAATATTTGTTTCATATTCGGTATTCGGCATATTCGGCAGCCTTACCGAATATTCGTATTCGGCTAAATCACCGAACATTCGTTAAAGTGGTACTCAGTGACCACTGTATTGAAATGCATGAATTGACGAATTGAGTAATGCCATGTCTTTCATAATTTTGCTGTATTGAGGCACTGCAGATTTCTTTTCAATTATATCAAATAGAAAGCTTGATAAAATATTTTTGGGTTCAAACAAAGAAACATTACATTACATGAGTACATTACACTTTACTTTGGTCGTCAGTTTCTCTAAAATAAGTCCAAATAGTAGATCTCCTGCCGCTCATTTTTTCATATAATTATCAATTTTCACTAAGAATAACACAAATAAATACTTTTTTCTCACAAAAATAGTCAAAACATAAGCAAGAGCCGGCAATTTGCTCATTACTAGATGATGAGGCTGGGTCCGGCGCTAATCCCGCGCGTTTTACAGTAACAAGTTTCGACATAATTTGGTTAGGTAGATACTGACGAGGAGATACTGCCGAATAATGTTCGACCGAATATTCGGTTCGGTAAAAGTTTTACCGAACTTTCGGCCGAATATTCGTATTCGGTGAAATCCATATTCGGCCCATCTCTAATTTAAATCAGCTTAGAAATTACTCGGAAATAGTTGAACCGATTTAAATATTTCCTTTTGCTATACCTAAGGGTAGCTTTATTTAAATGTGAACAATAAATTACGCCTAATAAGTCTTTAAATATAAAGTGAAAACATCGACGAACTAAAGCTTCGCTTTCAGCGACTATTGTGATTTATTTTAGTTTATTAAAATCGGTTCGTATTTTTTATTAAAAATTATTTTTTATTATTTATTTTCTTTTCCCTGAATAAGCTCGCTTGTCTCAAATGCATCTCAGATCACTTTTTTTCACTTGTAGTTTAAAGAGCATTTGAACGACATTTGAGCTGATTTGAGTGTAGTATTCATCTGTTACATTGTTTACATCAATATACATTAAGCGTATTCTTCAACAATGAGTTTACCTACAAAACCTCATTGGTATGCAAGCAACGACGTTATATTTTCATTTCCGTAACTCAATGAATGCGTGTCTATTGTTTACGTCTTTTACAAATAGAAACAAATAATATGACGCGTCAGTAAAGAAGTGACTAAAAGTCAGTCTACGGTGGTGTGGGTTGCAGGTTCACGACACTCGAGTACGATGAAAATACCGTTTTTAGAGAGGGTCAAAGGGAACCCTGTTAATGTCGTCACTCTGCTGTCCGTCTGTCAGGCTGTCCATATTATGTCTCGTAGACGGAATGAGCTATATACGTGAAATTTGGTTGATCCCAAAACTGAATATTGCATTGAATATTCAATAAAATTATTTTTAAGGCAGGAGCGAGTCCCTTGTAAAAAGAAGCCCCAAAATTTATTGTTTTTACCCTAGCGTGACGTGACTTATCTAGAGTCCATTGCTCATAATTTGTAGAATACAAAAATGAATAGAATATAAATTCTTTTTTTTCTACCTTCAAAAATAATGAAATAAGGAGCCGCTAAAATTGACAGTTTTAGAACTTTTTTGTTACGATGTCTATCTCAAAAATTAACTAGTAGGTAAGGAATTTGAAATTTCTGTATATTTTGTACCGTAACAAACGTTATTTAAACAACAAATACGAAAATCTATTTTTCTTTCACAGGTTGTTACGATGTCACGCACATGGAAACGATTCCTATATTTCTTTGGCCGTAATTTGTATGGAACCTTAATAGAGTGAGGTGAGACTCGCACTTGGCCACTTTTTATACAAATATCAATTTACAAAACAAACCAGCACACAGTCTACCTGATGGTAAGTGGATGCTAAAGCCCTTGGCATTTACATTAATGTTTTGGGGTAACCTGCTGGCACTCTTGAGGAGTATTATGAAACGTCTCATTAGTATTTCGTCTCATTACTCTTAAAGAAGTATGAAAATATATGACTTAATCGATGATCGGATAATCGCATTCGGAACAAATAGGTTCATCAATAATAATTGATCGAAGGGTTTGCCCGATCTTTTACCATGCGTGAAGCAAATGAGTAGAATAATTTGCTGACGTCTGTATTTTTAACGCGTTCTGTTACGCCAAGACAGTCATATCATATATAAATTATCACTACTTACCACCAGGTTGGATTGTAGTCAATTGCCGATTTGTAATACGTAAAAAATCTAATTCTGAAGTATGGCCGTCATCTATATATATATATATATATATATATGAATAGAATAGAAGGGGGAGTTGATCGAGCAAGTAGACGAGTTTGTATATTTGGGCTGCGTATTTAGCAGGGATGGGAGATATGATAAGGATATAGAACGACGAGTGAATGCGGGAAATAGAGTAAATGGGGCCCTGCACTCTATTGTGAAGAGTCAAAATGTGTCGAAAAAGGCACGTATGGCAATTCACAATGCTGTGTTGGTCCCTACTTTAACATATGGTAGTGAAAGTTGGGTGTGGCAGAAGAAGCACGAGAGTAGAATGAACGCAGTAGAAATGCGGTCGTTAAGGAGTATGTTAGGGCTGAATCTTAATGACAGGGTAAGAAATTGTGTAATAAGAGAAGAGTGTGGTTTGCAAGATGATGTTGTGACCAGGATTAAGAAAGGAATGCTTCGGTGGTTTGGTCATGTGGAAAGAATGAATGAGGAAAGAGTGACAAAGAAAATTTATGTTGCAGAAGTGAATGGCAGAGTCGGAAAGGGACGTCCTAGGCGAAAATTTATCGACCAAATTGGCGATTTATTGAAAACGGGCCAAATTAGGAGTACCCTTAACCGACGAGCATGTATGCGGAGGTGTATGGATGTGAAGGAGGCGAGAGAGGTGTGTCAGGATCGTGCCAAATGGAAGTCTGTAGTCTCTGCCTACCCCTCTGGGTGACAGGCGTGAGTGTTTATGTTTATATATATATATATATATATATATATATATATATATATATTATATATATATAAATAATAATAATAATAATAATAATAATAATAAAATACCACTGAATGACTGACCAACTCATCACCATATCTTTAAAACTGTACTGAAGGACTAATACGGAAGGTTGATTTGAAATTTAACATAGTTACTAATTTCACAATATAGACGCTCACGAAGAACGGATTTTTCGATAGTCCCATAAAAAAATTGATATTTTATTATCTACGTTATTATCGTCTATTATCATGCGCCGAGCGAAGCGAGCAGGTATCAGCTAGGTCATTACTAAAGACTAAAATTTCTGATCAATTGTAACGGTGATCAGAAAACAAAGTCGCAAAGATATGACTTATTTTATTTAAAAAAATAAATACAACAATAAAAACAACATGTGGAAAAGAAATATAAAAAAATATTTTACACGACGCTTTTCAAAAGCATGCTTTGTAAACGTGATTGCTAGCGGCTATGTGAATACAAAGTAGATTATTACAGAATATTATGGGCAGAAAATAATACGTTGCATACTTGTGCAAGAAACATACACATTGTATGTATGTACCTTTCTGTATACATAGAAATAGAAGTATATTTGCCAAACTCCCATGTAGTTATTATGGTTTTCTCATATTGACAAATGCTTAGTTGTTCTTTAAAATAGTCTAATTTTTTAGTGGTGACCAAAGAACAACAGTGACGGAAAGAACCTGATGGAAAGTAGTTGCTGTAGCCCATAGATATCCACAAATATCGTCGATTACGAATCAAAACGCAGATGTGTTGTCACCTGTGACAACACATCTGCGTTTAAAAAGGTCTCATTTTTAAATCATAAGATTTAAAAAAGGGTCTCCGGTTTTGTACACTCATCATACGAAACACAGCAGCGGTAAGCTGCTATTTTACGCTGTATTCTGTGAGAGCGTGGTCCTTCCCCGGTCGAGCCGACACATTCATACTACAACTATACCTCTAATATAGCTGCAGAATGGTACCACGTAAACTTAGTTATAAATTTGGAAATTAAAGTAAATGTCTTCTTGAAAATGTAATGATTCCTGATGCAACATTGGACTCCTGGCGGAAGTTGTATGTCACTCTAAGTTGGTTTACTTACGTTTCTTTTAATTCTCTATTTAAATCTTTTTAAAAACACCTTAGCCTCACACTAGAATATTATAGTGGTATTGTGGTGGCTCAGGACCGTGCATTGTGGCATTCCCAAGGAAAGACCTATGTTCAGCAGCGGACTTGTGAAGGGCTGTAATGATGATGATGAAGATTGTGGAGTCTTTTTACGTCTATATGTAAATAATTTAATGTATTTAGAAAAAATATAAAATTCTATATATACAAAAGATCTTGTGGTTTCTGACAGATGGCGGTATAAATATCTCAACACGCCAGACCACCACGCCACGCCACACGCAGTGTGAAGGGCTTTACCATAGTATAAAGAGGCCAAGTAGGTTATCTCCGGCCCAATCCGCGATATAATTGCCTACTGTCTCAGGGTTGTCACTGTCACCAAATCATTAGTTTAAAGCCCGGCCCTTGCCAAAGATAATACATCTCTGTATAACTAATTCAGTGATCATTAGTCGATAAAGTTCAACAATGGTTTTCCTAACAAATACAGAAGTGTATTAAGATTCAGAGCAGTATTATTTTATTATTATATTAGCAATACGTTCTACTGCGATTATCACACATTTTTCATTCATTTAGAGGTGCCGAAAAGCCGTGACGCGCGAACCTCGTGCGGTGTTAGCCCCGACTGACGCGCTGAGAAACACTTCGAGATTGTGTTGTGTGAAGTGTGCGTGCGGCGCCTCATAGATACTATGGCGCAAACATACAAGCCGCGCGCAGTGCGTTTGTATGACGGCGCCTCTACACGTTGGCCAAC